GATGGCTTTACATTTTCAGAGCAGGAATTAGTGTTTTTCTATTGGAATAATGTAAAGATGAAAAAAATCTAATGCCTGTGTTTTTAAGCTTTAAATTAGAGTAGGTAAAATTTTGGTAATCATTTCTGCATTTGTTTTTAACCTAATAGCTTACATTTTCAAATTTTCAAAATTAAGAATAAAAGCATATTAATTAGAAAAGCAATTCATGATGGTTGTAACAAAATTCAAAGAAATTAGAAATGTGTATAACAGAAAAGGAAGACTCCCCTTAGCCCACTGTGTCAGAGTCAATCACTGTTAACTTCATTTGTTCTCTTCAAGACATTTTTTATGCCTATTCAAATATATCCACACTCACGCCTTTTTTAAAAAATATAAAACAGATTATATCACATGTATATATATTTGTTTTTGCATCTTGACATTTTTCACTTAATATTTTATAGATTTCCTTCCATGTCAGTGCATATAGCTGTTATTTTTATTCTATGATCTTACTCTATGTAAGACCTCATTCCTTTAAATAGCTGCTTAGCATTCCAGTCATTAAATATACCATAATTTATTTACTTAATCCATCATTGACATTTAGGTTGTTTTTAATTTGGGGCTATTAAAAGTAATTCTGCACTGAACATCTTTGGGTAGATTGTATGCATTATGGTTTTGGAGATAGTAGTCGTAGGAGTATCATTGTGGTACAGTGGAGTCAGCCAAACAGGGCTTCAGAGCTCTCTTAAGTTACTTAAACTTTCTGAGTTTCAGCTTCCACATTGGTTAAATGGAGATAACACCTGTTGTTGAAATTTGTGAACATTACACACATATATGTAAAGCACCCACCTCAGTGTTGGCACATAGGAGGTACAAAATAAAGGCTGGCTTTAAAAGATGTATTAATCAGTCATATTGTTCCCAGGGCTTTGGCAGATATTGTTTGTCCATTTACAATCCTTTTATTTTTCTTAAACTGACTTAATATCAAATAAGCTTATTCATTATTTTCTGTATTTATAGAGAGGCATTTTATGCTTAATTTAAAAGTAAAAGATGGGGAAGTAGTTCTTGTAAGTTTGCCATCATTCGGTAATAGCATTATGTATGTTTTTAAATAATTAAACCTGAGTAACAATCTGCTTGTCCCCCACATCACCCCCCACAGGGTGTGTACATGGGCTGGTTAACAGCTTCTGGAAGTGGAGCACGGATTCTTGGGCCCGTGTTCATCAGCCAAGTGTATGCTCACTGGGGACCACGGTGGGCATTCGGCCTTGTGTGTGGAATGGTGGTGTTCACCATCACACTCCTGGGAGTGGTTTACAAAAGACTTATTGCTTTTTCCATAAGGTATGGGAGGATTCAAGAGTAAACTAGCTAAGACTGTGATCGAAAGTATTAATATTTGCTGTGTGGCATTTTCAAGTCTAAGGTTCTGTTAGACAATTGCCATGAGCCAGTCTCCAAAAGTCAGTCTGCGGATATTGCATATATTGAATAACAAGAACATATATTGAATAATAGAGGGAATTCTACATGTTATTGTGAATAGTAGGTTATATAAAAAATTCTGAATTATAATTTCCTTATCTCAAAAATGAAATATTCTTATAAAATCTTTTGGGGGTTGCATAAATGAATGAGTGAATGGACAATGGTCTATAAAATGTGAAGTTCTGCTCCTAATACAGAGATGTCATTAAAATAATGAGGAAATACCTATGTAGTGGAACCAGAAGGAAAGTTCCCGTATGAGTTAGGTATAACAGAATGAAATT